CCAACTAGCTCCACCCCGCGCCGGAATTCCTCTAGCTCATCGATGACAAAGAGCTCTACGAGGTATGATTCTGAATCGGTTTCTGTAAGCATCAGCTCTGTAGCTCTCCGAGATCTCGAGTTAAGTACAGAAAACCGTGAACGCGTGTCAAGATGACTCGGAACCCAGTCGTTTACTCCAAATGTTTTGATAGTAATACTGCACCTACGGACCTGAGGATTTGAATGGAAGACGCGGCATAACCCACTACAGGTGCGAAAAATCTGTTTCCTCAACATAAATTGTCAACTGGGAACCGGCGGTAAACCGTCAACCAGGTTTTTATGCGGTTTGCGGTCCGACCACAGGGCCCTACAAGGGCGGTCGGGTTGGTGCAGCCATCCCCTGTGGGCTGGATGTACCCTGAAAAACGTGATACTCTTGAAGTATCTTGCAAGCAGAGCGGGCAAGTCTCGAAGCGGCCTCAAGCTCACACTGAGCAACCGTCGCATCGGGAAGCAGGCCAAAAGCCTCCTCCGCCAACGGAAGGGTAAACGTGTGCAGGCAATCACTAACCCCTTCCCCAGATTGCTCACTGATGAACTCACCGTCTAGCCACCATCCTCCCCCAGCACCTGCACTGCTAACGCCACCGTCGTACGCACCACGGATTGCGGTCAATGTTTCAGTATTGTTTATATGTTGTTGAATGCTTCTGTACCTCGATTGTAATGGTAGATGTCTGATTGCCCAAGTCAGTCGGTCGGCACGGTCATTGCCTTCACGATAGTGATGACGCCACAAGTCATATCCTGCGGCTGGGCCCTGCAGCTTAAAATGTCAACAGGCGTCGTCTAACAGATCAATAACCTCCCCCACCTGCGATCGGTATATATTGTTGTTGCAATTCCACCTTCCCCTCATCCAGTTGGTTATCAGCATGGAGTCGCCTAACAGCTCCATCGCAACTCCCCCTCGTCGCTCGAAGCGGACCTCATTTTCAAAGTTTGCTGCGAGGCGCCTGGCTATACGATCAAGCGCCGCCTGTGTATACTGATTGTCCTCCTCCTCCTCTCTGTGTATCTGACCTCCCTCCTCCTTAAAGATAAAGCCCTCCGTCATATGTGAGAATCCCGCCGAACACAGTCGGGCCGTAGCAAACTCGCGAAAACCATGTTCACTCCAGTCGAGATGGCGCCACCAGTTCACACCAGCAGCCTGCACAAATAGGAAGTCCCACGGCCTGTAGCCTGTAGGTAACCTCCTCCCTGTTAGTCTGGTTATCTCCGTCCTCCTCACACTTGCAGTAATCATAGCCTCCCTCCTCTCCGTCCACTCCCCCTATCCATGCAGCATCGCAGCACGTGAAAGAACAAAGGGCCTTGACACGTCATCCGACACAGGTGGTGCTGGTGTCGGAGCCTCACCAGGCCGGGTGGTCGAGAGCCTCTGTCGTTGGCCCCGCACCGTCTCACGGAAGATTCTCGCACGCCGACGCCGATTTGCATGCGCCTCCTCCCCCGACGCACGCGCTAACATAGGTGCACACGTATGCATACAAGCGAACGATGCCACATCCTTTGCCCAGTCAAACTGCTTTCTGCGAAATCTTTGGGCCAATGATTGGAAGCCGTACCTAACAGAGTGTTGGCGACCATAGCGCAGCCGCCTCTGAGTATACACAGTCCCATCCTCACTCGCCTTCTTACGAAGACCACCAATGATCGCCAGCAACTGACCCTCCCACGCATATAACTTCTGAATAGTTCCCTCATCCGCCGTCATACCTTCACATACATACAAAACAGTGGACTGCACCCGTGCAATGTAACGCATAAAACGATCACGCATAGGTAACTGTCTACAGCGATAGAACTGCACATCACACATCCACGCACGCCTGGCACGCTGTAAATGACAATGTAGATCCCGATGCTCACTCCAGTCATCAAAGAGTTCCACTCCCAGAGCCGACATCTGTCGAGGACGTGGCAGGACCAACTCCTCACCATACTCAGGGACCCACACACGAAGCTCGGTATCAGAACAGCGAGGCCAGCCTCTACACAAGAGGTATCCAAGCGATGAGGGTTTCCACCGCAGGCCCGCCTGAGCCAACGGCACCGCGAGCACAGACATCATCTCCCGAAGTTCGTCCAGGGACCGTGCACACACATACAAGTTGTCCGCCCACAGAGCATGTGAAATCCTCCTCCTACCTCCACCCAAAGGGGTCCCCAATTCATAACCATAGTCGTTCTCCTCCCACTGCCGCACCACCTTCTCCCAAAGATACACCGAGACAGCCTTGAACAAGAAGGGGCTCTCCACTCCTCCCGTGCGGATACTCCTATCCCAAGACACCCAATCCGTCCACCGCACACCTTCAAAGGACATCTGACACACGTTCTCACGCATGGGCTCCAAGAAGGCAAATATGAGCTCCGATGGGGAACCCCAATGATACCAGACTGCTATACGCCAACGTCAACGTCACATGGTCGAAGCACTGTAGTACGTCTGCACTCCCAAGATATAATGATTCCCCTTTGCCCCAGAGACACGCGTGCTGTGAGAGCCTCTTTCGTACCGCCGTGATTTCATGTGGTTTCCTACCTGCTGCAAAGCCAAACAAGCACGTATGAGGTCGGAGCTTTGTCAACTCTTCCGCCGCAAGTATAGTGAGACACAGGTCTTACCATTTGGACATAAGAGGTATGAGGCATATTTTTCTAATGTCTTTGAGTTGGGTCATTTGGGGGCTCGTCGGGATCAGAGTGACAAGGAATTTTCTCCAGCACTACGGCGTGAGATTCTCCCGACAGGCCAGGCGCTGAAAGAAGTCACGCACACGGCGCACACACGCCCAAGGAAGCAACTTGAGGATTTCGGGCGACACGTCATCGCATGACGCTGCTCCTCCCCTCTTGAGTCGCGCCCGAGCTCGCAACACAAGGGACATGCGAATGTCTAGTGTCCGATGCGAGGCCGCTGCTGCACACCCCGCCGTCTCCAACGTCTGTGCACTAGCCCTGCGAGCCTCCTCGCATTGAATAGTGGCACAAGCAAACCGTCCGATCTCCGCCCCCCACTCCTCCAAGTCCTCAGATCTATGAATACTACCGTCCTCCTGAACCACCTCCAGAACCTGATTGTGTGTACCTTGACTCCGTCCTTCCCTGGTAAATTGAAATCTGACCAGTTCAGCCTAGCACCTTCTCTTCGCAGGTCGATACCGCCGTCGTAACTGCTTGCAGTCCTCCCACCTCCTCTCCCTCCTGAGCTGTTTCATGTCCTCCTCCATCCTCCACAACTCCTCTGGCTTCTTGGGACGCTGGACCTGTCGCCCCTGTGCATGAGGTGCGAGACTGGCCGCCGACACAATCGCCGTATTGATGAACTCGCCTTCACAAATGGGTGATCCCACCGCCTGAACGCACTGTGTCGTCACATCCTCCACTTCCTCCCACTCCTCCATGTCCTCCATCATAGTCTCCGTACTGTCCGTGCTGTTACCCTCCTCCTCCACCACGGTCCTAAGCTGACGCGCCACACGAGGATGGAAACGGCTGACCAGCTCCCAGCCCTCCTCGGGCGCCGTGGCAGCAGACCTGACAGGAATTGCCCTGCATGTGGTGAAAGCAATCTCCGCCTCCCGAGCGTAAGCCTGAGGATCCTCTGGAGCCCAGTGGACCAAATTGGAGGCCCTCGTCGCCTTCGGCTTCTGCCTGCGTACACCCGTCGGAGCACATGGTAACGTGGCATGTAACAGAGCATGATCCGATACCGCAGTGAGTGCCGTCGCCCCCAGTGGTTGGATGAATTTAACCCCCACCTCCGACTGTGCACCGGGTAACCCAATATAGTCCAAGACACTGGGAGCCCCAAGACCCGACGGGATCCAAGTAGGCCTCCTGGGTCCAAATGCGTCGGCCATCACAATCCTCCACCTCCCACAGAACTGAAGAAGCGCCTCCTTCATTGCCTCCCTCCTCCCCCAACGCACACGTGAAGCCCCACCCGAGTAGACCAGAGTTGATTCCAGCAATCCCTCCCCCGTAAGTTGTAGACCATTACAGCTCGTATCTGGCGACAGTGCCACGTTGGCATCCGTGAGCAACACCACCTTCTGGGGCCTCCTAGGGTACCTGTGGTAATACTTCTCGAGGGCCTCATTCATATTATATATAATGTTCTGAAACTTCTCATTCGTAATGTCATCACTCTTCAACGTCCCATCCTCAGCATTGGGCAAATAGCATGAAACAACCGTGACCGTCGTAAATCCTGTGGCAACGTAACCTTTCCCTTTGAACGTAGCAAGGCGGTGCTTCCGCCAATTATCCTCATACAGGATGGCAACCTCGCGGGAGCTATCAAAAATCGTGCGAATAGCACCTTCACCCGAACCTGACAGCTCAGAACGATGACCCCAAAGATTTTGACACTCTTGTACCCCCAGGAGTGTCACATCCGCCCCTTTTCATCGCACTAAGTATTGTGTGGATAGTAAGTTGTCCTCTCCGTCGTAGGTTCCACGAGCCTAGACGGACCTCTCGTCAGCACGGCGCTGATAGTCGCGCCTTGGGGCCTGCAATGTCCAAACTCGGCTCATATGATTTAATATTGTCCCGAATCGTCCATCCCTCCTGCGCATGTGGCCCTGGCTGAAATATCATGACAATCTGACCTGCATTCTGCGCCTCACTGGATGCACGCGCTCACACATATGTTTGTCCCAGACCACTGCCCAGCTCTGAGCGCACGATGGTTCCGTTCCTGCACACCTGAGCCCATACAGCATGACACTTGCCTGAAGCTTGAACACGCACGGTCTTCCATGGGGCGACCTCCACAGACACCCGAATATTGGCCGCCTCGGGCCACGGGATTCTATTGATATCATCACTCGCAAGGGCTAGATTAGATAACAGTGACCGTCTAAGTGCCAACAACTTCTGTCCTGGAGTACCCTACTCGAAATAGATTCTCAAACGCCCATATCCGAAGCACTCCCTACCCGAGTTTGCGTTCGTCGTCGCCTCCTCGTCGATGCACTTGCACCACTCTCCCGACTGAATGATGCTTTGTTTCATTGAGTTGATCAGGGTCATCAGGACATCCTGTGCCATCATCTGACGGGATCTCAACCCATGGTTGCTCCCATCAGTAATCCACCTTTTGCACTCAACAAAACTTGGCCCCCACTGAAAGTTGAAACGCCCTGGAGCTATGCCTGACCCCTGGTTTAAAGCCGCTGGCGCTCTAGTGGGCGTCTCCGATGCCGCCCCGTCGCTGCCAACAATACGATTCAGAAACTTAGTCCCCAGATCAGCTTGCCTACGTGAGAGAGCCTGCATATCCTGATTGAAAGATTTTTGGACGGCATCAACCTTATTGTCAACCGCTGTAATTGCCGTTTTGACCGTCTCGATTTTCCCGTCAACTGCTGTGAGAACGGCCGCCGTCACACTCTGCGCTTGTTGTGCCATCATTCTCTGAAGCTCACTCAACAGATTTGCTGATCCCGACTGCTCCTCCTCCCTCATCCGTTTACGTCCAGTCTCAGTCTCTGCCATCGCCACATCACTCGACCCCCCCCTTTGCAACTGATGGTGGGTAACCGAAATCACTCGACTCAACACTCGGAGGCAGCCTTCGACTTTCCCACGAGGGGCTGGTTTGTGAATCCCACGCCGTGATGGACGTGCACACTGAAGCAGGCAATGAAACGCGCACTCTGACAATCAATAAATACGAACTCCAAACAGTCAATGAAAGTGTACTCCGACAGTCGGTGGATGTGTACTCCCACCGTCAATGAAGTGTATTCCGACAATCAATGAGTATGTACTCCCACAATAAATGAATGCGTACCCCGACAATCAATAAACCGTGTACTGCAACAGTCAATGAAGTGTGTACTCAAACAAACAATGAAAGAATACAAAGTGCAGCCTCTCAATGAAGATGTACTCCGACAGTCAATGAAGTGTGTACTCAGACAAACAATGAAAGAATACAAACAAAGTGCAGCCTCTCAGTGAAGATGTACTCCGACAGTCAATGAATGTGTACTCCGACCGCAATGAATGCAAACTCCGGCAATCAATGATGTGTACTCCGACAATCAATGAACGTGCACACCGTCAATCAATGAAGCGTGTACCCTGACAGTCAATGAAGTGTGTACTTTGACAATCAATGGATCTGCTCGCCGACAATCAATGAGCACGTACGATACACAGGCCGTGTACGGTAATGAGAACCAAACAAAGCAGCACGGCAAAATGCCGCTCTAGACGAGAGCCCCAAACGGGAGCCCCCAGCCGCCAGACCCCTGAGGAGGGAGGCAACCAGGTTACCGCCGCGACCCTCGTAGAGCTCTTTTCTCGCACGGCGCTCCTCGGTACACATGAAGGAAGCGTCTGGAGCAAGACCCGAAAAACTCGAAAAAACACGTTTTATGTTTTTATCCAAAGACGGTTCCGCCAAGTGTTTTGATAGTAATACTGCACCTACGGACCTGCGAAATTGACTGGCAGACGCGGCATAACCCACTACAGGTGCGAAAAATCTGGTTTCTCAAAGTGAATTGTCAAATATCTTTCAAATATTCGCAAAACTGACCCAAAGTTAACACATTGTCCTTTCTGGCCGGGTCGACCAACTAGCTCCACCCCGCGCCGGAATTCCTCTAGCTCATCGATGACGAAGAGCTCTACGAGGTATATATGGCGCCGGCGGTGAACCGTCAACCTGGTCTGCGGTGTCTGCGTTGGCCGATTCGAGCTCCCAAGGGAGCAGGCCAGGACACAGAGAGTACTAACAGCGAAGCTGTACAGAGGCAGAGAAGCTGAAAGATTAAAGCGGAACCTCGTAGAGTGTCAACATCAAGTCGGTTCCCGGTCTGCGATGTCTGCGCTGGCCGACTCGAGCTCCCAAGGGAGCAGGCCAGGACACAGAGAACCTAAACAGCGAAACTGCAAAGATTAAAGCAGAGATGCATCAAACAGCGAAGCTGTACAGAAATGCACGAGACTGCAAGTACACGAGAAAACAACTAACAATATAATGAGTGAAGCAATGCAGGCCATAGAAATGGAAGCAAAGCTAGAAGCAGTGAGAGACCATACAGTAACCACTGGTTTATACAGCGATTACCGTCTCACACCACTGAGACAAAAACGAAACTAAGAGAACTAAAATAGCGAGTGCGCTTCAAAGCAATGCGAGACCATGCAGTAACCACATATAGCGATTACCGTCTCAGCACCACTGGAAGACCATGCACGTGAAACACAACGTCGAAATGTGGACTAGATAACGAATTAAACGCGCAACATACAGAGTGAGCCAAGACACCCACCACTACTTAGAGCGAATGCGGGCTCTTATCCGAACAAAGTGAAGATCAGGCGAAACTCTTATTCAACACACGTGCATGCACGACAACACACACAGCACTGGCGCCCAGGAACCTCGTGAAGCTCCTCCCACCCGTAAGAAATCTCAGGATCGAAGCGGAGAGCTTCTGGGAGCTTTTCTAGAAAAACGTCAAATTCAGATTTTCGGAAAATATATTTCTATATATATATATATATATATTAATAAAAAAAAAAAAAAAAAAAAAAAAAAAAAAAAAAAAAAAAAAAAAAAAAAAAAAAAAAAAAAAAAAAAAAAAAAAAAAAAAAAAAAAAAAAACGCTCCGGGAAGTCAACTAACTAAAACTGGCTCTAGAGAGCTGAGCTGCTCAGGGAACAAAGTTTATATGCCAATGCTCGGCCTAAAAGTCTGCTTTCACAAAATGACTTCTCAAATATCTTTCAAATTTCAGCAAAACCCACCCGAAGTTGTCACATTGTCTCTTTTGATCGGGTCGGCCAACTAGCTCCACCCCGCGCCGGAATTCCTCTAGCTCATCGATGCCGAAGAGCTCTACGAGGTACTGGGATCCGGCGGTAAACCGTCAACCAGGTAACCGCCCGGAGCCTCGTAGAGCACTTTTCTCGCGCGGCGCTGCTCGAAACACACGAAAATCTTTCTCGAGCGCGAAGAAAAAGCTCGAAAAAACACGCTTTTCCATCCAACCTCGGTTCCCTGAAGTGCAAGGTCGGATCTGCCAACTAGCCCCACCCTGCGCCCGACTTCCTCATATTATGCAAAGAATTAGCAGAGAATGAATAGTTTTTCAGCCCGAGCGCTAACAGCAGATGGTCTCAGGTGTCTAGATACACTTCAGTATTGCCCCTGATGCTGTAGCTCATCTGCAGCGCGAGTAAAATCAAGGAAACACTACAATTCCCAAGAAAGTAGCACAGTACGAATCAGTGTTCAGCCCTAGCGCTAATAGCATACTCAGTGTGGGTGTCTAGATACTTTCAAATAGCGCGCATATCATTATCTTCCCATTGCAATGCCTAAGAGCTCTCAAGCTCATCTGCACCTCGGATTCAAACCAGAAACGAACTCCATCACCAGAAAAATACCTGAATATGACTAGTTGTGCGGCGTCTGCTCAAAACAAACCCGAGCCAATCGTCTAGGTGCTTCATACTATCGAACCTCATGATTTTCTTCTGATTTGTCTGCAGGAGAGTTCTCAAGCTTATCTGCAGCTCGAGTTGAAACATATCAGCATGAGTTCGAAAAAGATCGGTCGCATACAAACAGTTTTGCGGACCTAGCTCGACTAGCAAACTCTGATCAGAGCTCTAGATGCTGCAGCCGAACGCGCCTGATGATTCTGGATCGGTTTCTGTGCATATCAGCTCTGTGCTAAAGCTTCAGTCAAATACACAACACCGACAGCGCCTGTAAAGAGAACTTGAAGAATACGAATAGTTTCGCGGACCTAGCTCGAGTAGCAGACCGAGTTGAGACCGATCGATGCATACTGGATCGGTTCATGTGCGCACCAGCTCTGCATCTCTTCTAAGTCTGGAGTTAAGTACAGAAAACCGACAGCACTTGTCAAAACGACTCGAAGAATACGGATAGTTATGTGGACCTAGCTCGAGTAGCAGACCGAGTTCATACCTCTGGATGGAACAGAAGAACGCGCCTGATGATTTTCGATCGCTTTCTGTAGCTCTGTAGCTCTTCTAAATCTCGAGTTGAGTACAGAAAACCGTCAGCGCGTGTCAAGATGGCTCGGAACACAGTCGGTTCCAAGTGTTTTGGTAGTAATAATGTACCTACGGGCCTGGAAATTTTACAGGCGCACGCGTCATAACCCACTGCAGGTGCGAAAAATAGGTTCCTCAAAATGAATGGTCAAATATCTTTCAAATCTTACAAAACAGACCCAGGTCATCACATTGTCTCTTAAGGTCAAGTCTGCCAACTAGCTTTAGCTCATCTGGCGAAAGAGCTCTACGAGGTACGAGGTACGAGGTACTGGCGCCGGCGGTGAACCGTCAACCTGGTCTTTTGCGTATTTTGCGAAGGCCGGTTCGAGCTCCCATGGGAGCAGGCCTAAACACAAAGAACCTAAACAGCGAAGCTGTACAGGAAGACAGCGAAGCTGCAAAGATCAAAGCAGAGGTGCATCAAACAGCTAAGCTGTACAGATATGCACAAGACTGCCAATACACGAAAAGACAAAAAAAAAATAGAAAGAGGGAAGCAAAGCGGCGCGAGACCATGCAGTAACCACATATAGCGATTACCGTCTCAGCACCACTGAAAATAAAAGCAAAGGCCTACTTTGAGGCACCACGTGACAAATCACGGAAAGTCACGTTCAAAGACTAGAGAATAACAAATCCACTTATGAGACCTGCCAGCGGAGAGCGAAGGAAAGCCAGCGGGAGAGCGGGAGAAGCCCAAAGAGCCAAAGCGAACCCAGGGGCAAAACAGCGGGGAAGAGTGGGGGAGAAACACAAACAGAAGCATGTGCAATCACTCAATCACTCAATCAATTGGGTGTCCGACCTTGGCCGCCAACTCGCGGTAGTTCATTACTTTGCGACGCATCCATTCATCCTGAAATTCCAACACGTCGTACATAGCTTTCGTAACGCTTTTGGGAACGAGTCTGTGGTGCATAAAGACTCTGATATCCGTCGACAGATGGGTCAAGTTGGCTATCGGACCAGGTCTCGCGCGATCCCAAAGAAGCGACTCAAGCAACACAGCCTTTTCCTCGGCACCCGAGGCCATAAGGCGATACAGCGTGGCAGCCGTGAAAGAGTGAACGAGCTTTACCCAGCCAGACTTGCGGAAACAGTATTTCCTGCTCCTTAAATTGCACGCCAACTGATACAAGTAATCTGCATGGTCCCGTTTCTCCTCGTCCTCCGTCACTGCTGAACTCACAACTGCATTAGATAAACTCCCAGTCGTGGAACTCCCAGGGTGTGCAGCCATAGCATCTTTATGATGAGAATAATGCAACTGCTCATTCCGCAACTCCTCATTCTGCAACTCCTCACCCTGCAACTCCTCATCATGCAACTCCTCTTTCAGAACACCTGGATCAACAGAAACAGAAACCACCTCCTCCACCTCCTTCCACACCTTAAGATCTTCCTGCCCAGCCTTCCCAAGACAATCCGACAGAGCGTCCGGAGATGAAGCGTGGCAAACTTCAGAGCTGGAATCCAAAGAAACAATATGCTGAGAATAATGCAACTGCTCATTCAGCACCTCCTCACTCTGTAAATCCTCATTCTGCAACTCCTCGTCCTGCAGCTCCTCATTCTGAACACCAGGAAGAAAAGAAACAGAACCCAGCACACCATCTGGAGACTGCACCGCATCTGGAGAATAAGCAACAGAATAAGACGAGAAAGCTTTCCCACGATCATTTGGCCCATCGGGTTTAGCGACTCCGTCGAATGACTCAGTCATCACACCCAGAGCCTCTAGCACACGGATCTCTGGAGATTGCACCACGGCTGGAGACTGCACCACCTCTGGAGATTGCATCCCCACTGGAACGCACTGCAGAGTATGGATGTCAAAGAGGGCTTGTCGAAACATGGCGAGTCTCAGCCTTCTCGCTCTCCACCGACTCGTCAGAAGCATTTGTTAGATTTAACATTACATGCCGGATTTAATGTCTGCAGAAGTTTCGGCCGAGTTAGCGGATCGCAATGCTGCGCTTGGTAGCGTTGTTCTCCCGCCTCTTGCAGTCGAAGAGCAGTCGCGCCCTGTCCGGGTTTACAAATCTGCCGATTTGGCGGCCCTGAAAGCGTGGATTCGCCGGTCAGACTGGAACTGGATCGACGCATGCACGCCCAATTAGGCTGCTCATCGTCCTACGTTGTTTCTCCTTGAGCCGCATGCATCCCCATGTGTGGTTTAAGTTTTTCAGTTTCCTATCCCTGGCTTGATGCCGGTACTCTAGCCGTTGTTTCTGCTAAGGTGGCCGCAGGAACTCCCGACTTCCCTGTGGCAGCGCGTACGTAGCTTGCGTACTATTTTACGAATTGAAGAGAGATAAGTGACAACGAGATCATCAGCGAGTTGTGACAAAAACGACCGTCGACGCATCATCGGGAAGATCGATTACGATCAATTTGAGATGACTTGTCTTGTCGGCTGCCGCAGTCGTCTGAGGAACCTTGTTACAAACAGAATATATTTGCTGAACGATATTGCATCGATAGCGGTACAGGTCGTGATTTGGTACCCGTTCATTTCTTGCAGCAATCTTGCGCGGAGCTCACAGTGTCGTGTGTTTTACTAATCCATAAAAAATTTCAGTGGTCGTTGTTTCGGTTTTCGACACATTGAATGTTTCTGTTCTAAAAGCGTGTGTTCCAGTGCAATCCCATACAGAGAGTTTTAATTGACCTTAAAGTCATCTAACGAGTTGAGGATTTATTTTTTGTTGTTCTTCAAGTTGTGTGAAGTTCTATTATTCACAGGTTGTTCTCCGTCTGGCGTGTCCGGCGTCGTTTCTCTCTTTTTCTGCCTCGCTCCCCCTGCTTGCTAGCCTGCTTGCCGCTCCCTCTTCCCTCCCTTCCTTTCTCTCGTTTGTTTTTTGTTTTTTTTTTGTTCGTCTGTTTTTCCTCCTCGTTTGCTTTCTCTCTTGGTCTTTTATTTTTTGTTCCTTAATCTTCCAGTACAGTTACGTTTGTGCGAATTGTGTGTGGCTTTGGTTCATGCGAGGTTGCGTAGAAAAACAAAAAATGATTACCTCAATATGTTCAATTTCTTTTGAGTTTTTTTGTGTTTCAATAATGGTAAATTTCTCATGTTTCAACATTTTCCCGCAAGAGCTGGATATGTGGGGTCGTGTTAATGGTGTCATTTCGAACTAGGTAAAGAATGTAGTAACATGTTGTTTTAGACTTTTCTTGTACGATTAAAGGAACAGCGAACATACGGAAACAATCGCAACTCTTTTCAGACCAAATACGTGGTCTGCTTTTCCCCAGAACGCGCAAAGACAACGCCCAATTCGCGCACATTCGCGGCGTTTCGACAGTTGTCGCAGGTTTTCCAGAAACGTGATGTTCTTGCCGAGGAACAAGTGGGCAATTATATGATATTGTTGGGCCCATTGAACACGATTGGCCACGCAAAATTAAATTATGCAAGATTCGCGCAAATGTGTGGCGTCAAGATTACATGCAAGCTGACATGGACAATGCGTATTACATGTCGTAAGTTCGAGCCTTCATGGGACATTTGGGAAATAATTGTTTCAGAAGCCTCGGCAACGCAGACGAACCTTACCACGCATCGCAAAGCGTAGAAGCCTGAGAAGACATGGTTTTTCTAGAGAAGGACCAACGTGTGTGAAAACGCCGAGCACGCAAACACATGATACGTGTGTAGTAGATTTGTCGATAGCAGCGTGCATGCGAAGTTGACAGTCACACGAAACGCCAAGGAGTCTGAAAGAGTCACCGTGACGGTGTTTGTGGTTCAGAATGTGACTGTTTTTGCCAGCATCGGACATAACGCTGTGTTCAGAATATACGGTTTGCTGGCAGAACGGAAGTAAGCTTTCATGGCGTCAAATCGTTTGCGTAAACAATTATTTCCGGATAGCTTCGGAATCCCGGAAAAAGAAATTGGAGAACGAAGGGCACCAGACAATCCTTTGGAACACCATATTCAACATTCGAATTACCTCCGAATGGGCTCCGCCGATCACGACATTCGCGGAACAGGCGCAGACCAGTTCAGAATTACATCAAATATACCACTTGGAACAGATGACGTTACTAATTTTTTGAATAGTCGCCCGTGCGCACGATCGGACGCGTCAGAGACGATTGAGCAATACAGTCCTACGTCCGCCTCCAGCGAAAGTCTGAATGCAGAGCACGACAAGCCACAACAATGCGTCCTGGCACCGCGACCGGGCGTGTAAGCGAATTGGAACTTGCCAGAACACGTTTCAGAAACAGTACGGGGAATGAATTGCTTGCCAGAAATCTCTTCATTGCTGTGGAGAACGGTGCAGTGCGAATTCCTCTGTAGTGGTCTGGGTTGCGCAGAGAATATTGCTTGTGCAGCGGGTGAATCCAGTTTGCTCGCGTGAGGCCCATCGCCGCGAGACACAATCAGCCGCTTCGAGAAAGGCAGCGTGAGCTTTCGAGCGCACGTCTTCGGACTTTCGCCGGTAAAAGGTCAGGCCCAGTTCCGCTGTCTATACGCAAAGAAGACAAGACGCGGAATGCTGCGCGACCATGGAGAGCACGAATGCGCCGAGAAGACGACAAGATTGAAGGACGCTGAACTCGTCACGAAGAGGAGCCGGCAAAAAACCTCCTGGAAGTGAAAGCATGTGCAAACAAATTTGCTATGCCAGGAGGGTGTGAAATCCAGGTCCCGGCCGGATTTTTCAGAGAAGGCGAAGCAGCATTACGTTCTACTAACCAACTCGCGCAAAAGATGCCGCCACTGCTTTCCTTGAAAGATTGCAGTTTGGCACGAGCACGTAATGTGTAATTGTTGTAAGCATTTAACAACCTTGCACTGCGCGCCTAAGGGAAGCTCTACGAGTTACTGGGCGCCGGCGGTAAACCGTCAACCTTTGTCACCGCCGGCAGCCCAAGTTACGTGCGTAAATCGACAGCACCTCTCATGATCACTCGAACAATACGAATAGTTTGGCAAACCTAGCTCGAGTATCAGACCGAGTTCAGACCTCTAAATGCGACAGGCGGACGCGTCTGATGTCTCTGAAATGATTTCTGTGAGAACCAGCCCTGTAGCCCCCCCCCTCCACCCTACAGCCCGAGTTAAGTGCAGGAAACCGAGAGCACCTCTCAGGATGACTCGAACAATACGAATAGTTTCGCTGACCTAGTTCGGTCAGCAGACTTGGTAGCGTCCAAAACCCGGAGAGCGAAGAGACCCTTTGGGGACGGGAAATCTTTCCTGGAGAGCTCCGGGGAGCTCCCCTGCAGCGCTGCCGAAGCGCTGGCATTCTCGAAATAAATTGACATATATCTTTCAAATACTCGCAAAACGGACCCAACTGGGCGCCGGCGGTAAACCGTCAACCTTCCTTACCGCCGGGGGACTCGTAGAGCTTCCTGACCATATATCATGTCGGAAAAAATGGCAGAGAACGAATATTTTTTCAGCCTAAACGATTTCAGACCTCTCGATGCAACAGCCAAACGCCCCTCATGCTTCTGGATCGTTTTCTGTGCGCACGAGCTCCGTAGCTCTCCTACAGCCCGAGTTACGTGCGAAAATCGATAGCACCTCGCAAGATCACTCCAACAATACAAATAGTTTCGCAAATCTAGCTTGGTATCAGACCGAGTTCAGAAATCTGAATGCAACAGCCGGACGCGCCTGATGTCTCCGAATCGATTCCTCTGATTACCAGCCCTGCAGCCCCCTAACAGTCCGAGTTAAGTGCAGAAACTCGACAGCACCTCTGAAGATGACTCGAACAATACGAATAGTTTCGCGGACCTAGCTTGGGCAGCAGGCCGAGTTCAGGGCTCTCAATGCGACAGGTGGACGCGACTGATGCCCCCGAATCGATTCCAGTGATTACCAGCCCTGCAGCCCCCTCACAGCTCAAGTTAAGCGCAGAAAACGGACAGCACCTCTCAAGATGACTCCAAGAATACGAATAGTTTTGCGGACCTAGCTCGGGCAGCACACCGAGTTCTAACCTCTGGATTTGGCAGACGGACGCGCCTAATGTCTCCGAATCGATTCCTGTGAGTACGAGCTCTGTAGCACCACTACAGCCAGAGTTGAGGGCAGCAAATTGACAGCACCTCTCAAGATGACTCGAATAAGACGAATAGTTTCGCGAACAAAGCTCGGGCAGCAGACCGAGTTCAGACCTCTAGATGGAACAGACGCACGCGCCTGATGATTCGCAATCGATTTCTGTGGGAATGAGCTCTGTAGCTGCCCTACAGTTCGAGTTAAGTACAAAATACCGACAACGCGTATCAAGATGATTCGAAACAGCCGATCCCGCCGCGATGCTTTTTTGCCGAAATATTTACCCGATCGAGCTGAGATTAAGATGGCGAGCGGGAATAAGATCGAAAACGGTGGAAAGAATACTAGAGCTAAAACGAATTCTTGAATTCCGAGATAACATATTTGAACCGACCAAACTGGCGCCGGCGGTGAACCGTCAACCTGGTCACCACCGGGAACCTCGTAGAGCTCATTTCACGCGTAAGAGTGCTCGGAGTCGAAAGAGAGAGCTTCTGGAAAAATTTCTCGAAAAAATGAAAAATTGATTTTTTCGTGTCGACATGAAGATGGTTCCGCCAAGTGTTTTGATAATAAAAGTGCGCCTACAGAGCTCATACTAAGACAGAGAGGCCCTCATAGTCGTTTACAGGTGCGAAAAATCTGCTTCCTCAAAATGAATTGTCAAATATCTTTCAAAAAATTGCAAAAAAAACACCCAAACTGGGTGCCGGCGGTAAACCGTCAACCTTGGTTACCGCCGGGAGACTCGTATAGCTTCCTAGCTCGACTTAAGTTGAGAAAACCGACAGCACCTACCAACATTCCGACTTATAGTGAATATTTTTTGACCTCTGAATGCGACAGGCGGACGCGTCTGATGTCTGCGAATCGACTCCTGTCAACACCAGCCCTGCAGCCCCCCTACAGCCCGAGTTAAGTGCAGAAAACCGACAGCACCTCTCAGGATAACTCGAAGAATGCAGTAGTTTCGTAGACCTAATTCGGGCAGCAGACCGAGTTCCGAGCTCTGGATTCGACAGGCGGACGCGTCTGATGTCTTCAAATCGATTCCTGTCACCAGCAGCACTGTAGCCCCCCTCAGCGCGAGTTCAGTGAAGAAAACCGAGAGCACTTCTCAAGATGACTCGACCAATACGAACGGTTTCGCGATTCTAGATCGG